GAAGCAGTCATTGTGCCAATGCCTGTCCTCGAATGAGATGAAGCGTGTGCCACCGATGCCTATTGATTTATAAAAAAATATCACGTTGATTAATGGAAATAAAATAGCCATTTTTAATCTTTAATAATAAAATAACATTATTTTTTTAAATGCAAAAATTTTTATTAAAAATATTAAATAAATAAAATTACGAACCAGTGATTGGTTTCGTGCAAGCTGTACATCTCTTGGCAAAAAGCTCGCCGAAACATTCAGCGCAATACGGCTTATCATCGCGTGAAGTAAACCGCTGGCCTGCCAGTGAATTGTTACAATGGCTGCAAGTGAAACAATCTCTGTGCCATGGTTCGTTCTTGTATGTTACGCCGCCGCTGGTGATAATCTATATTAAAATAAAAAAAAAATTCATTAATATTCATGAATTTCTTTTTATAATTCTTGTAATCATAAATATTAAAAGCTTCTCTAATTTCAAAACCAGAAACATTCATAATTTCGTAATTCGATTGTATGTGACAAATTTCTTACAACAGAATTTGTTTTTAATAATATTTTTTTTTTTTTTTTTTTCAATTACTTGTTTGACTTAAAAAATCAGAATCAACGGAAAAAGACATTTATTTCACTTAAGCTTTGTCATTAAACGCGATTGATTTTCTCCGCTCATTCGGAAAAAGTAAACTTTGAAAATTACCGATAGGTACAGCAACAAAATACCCTCGAGATATTTTGACAAATGAAACAGTAATTTTTCTGATCTGGAAAAAGTAATTAGTAACTTTTGTAAAGTTATTGGATGCTCAACAATAATGAACTCTGATATATATATTTTTTCAATTTTATTTTACAAAAAATAATTGTCAATTTATGATTGTTAATTTACTCGAATCGCATTTAATGACAGCGCATGTTATTAATTTTCACAGTGGGACATAAAACAAAAATTGATTGCACGATTTTTGATGTACTTAATCAACGCGTCATTTTGAACAAGTTAATCATTATAATAAAAAAAATCTCGGATGACAAAATACTAATAATTTAAAAGGCATTATTGTCAATTATTAAAATAATTGAACCATCATGCATCAAATAATTAGAAAAAAAAAATTGCAAATCCTTTTCAATCGATAATTTTAAATAAAATAAATATCAGGATCATTTTCAATAGCAGTTTATATTTTTCTACCAATGTTTCTTATCGATTGTAAAGTTTATGTCGCTTACAATAAAATATTACTACGAGCTTTAACTTATCAAACTTTAAAAATAAATAAATTTATCTGCTTTTTCACGTATGATTATCTCAAGAGTATTGTTATTTAATGATACAATCTGAAGTTTTTTAAACAATTGAGTCTTAATTTTACGATGCTAACGTAATTCCTGCTTATCGCGCTTCGTCATAAAATTATATAGTATTGTTTTTTTCTTTAATTTTCAACAACTGTAGTTTTTATGATTCATTATAAAGAATGAAAAGTTATGATGAATAAAAATAATATGAATATTTCAGAATTTAAATTTTATATATAAACATGACGAAAACAATACACCAGCTGGTGTGCTTTTAAATTAGACTTGTTTGGACAATAAACAAAAGCGACGTACTTATACAGTCGTCTCAATTAAAAAAAAAAAAAAGGTGTCAAAACTACCTTATTGCACTTGACACAACGAGTAGCAAATTTATCCTCGTAACAACCGGCACAGTAAATTTCCTGTTCTCGCGGAATGAAGCTCTTTGTACCAATGGGGTTCTTGCATACGACGCAGCAAAAACATTTCTCGTGCCACTGTCGAGTCTTGTATTCCATCTTCTTGGTACCTGAAAAACATAACAACAACAAACACCCAAAGAGGTGTGTGAATAAACAGAATAACTTTGTATTTAATTCAAGATAGAGAGAACCCACCTACACCTACATCTACATTTACATCGAGATCTACTCTCATCTAGTCTAATCTAATGTAAATGCTGAACCCACAAGATGGGTCAAAGGGGTCGCTTTAATGAAAACATCATGTTTTGAATTTAAATGATTTATGGTTTTGCATCTCTTTATTTTAAGCTCTCGTATCAATTAGCAGCCTAATAATAATATTTATTATTACATTTTTATTATTATTTTAATTATATCATATAATAAATCTGTAATAGCAATTAAAATGTTAAAATGAGATAAAATCACCTACGCATTGAAATAAATACTTGTTTGCACATAGCACGTGCCTATTATGGAATGTGAGTAATTTAAGATTTAAATTGGAATCAGAGAAACAGATGCGTCAATAAGTGATACAATAAATCACAGCGTTTTTTATTATTATTTATCGAACAAGTGTATGAATCCGATTGACCTGAATTTTTGGAACGTTATGTGAAAAATCTTTAAAGCCGTTTTACCGGTTCCATTAACAATATATTTACCTTGTGCTCAACCCATAAACATTACGAGTTAAGTACAAGAAACAAGAGCTTTTAAAGTAAAGACTATCGGAAGATAGCTACTTTATTGTTTAGTGTCGAAAATACATAAAACATAATAGTAAAAAAATTTATTTGTTGTTTTAAGATGGACAGTGGGGTTTAGGTGCATCCTAACTATACGAGAGATGTAATAGCTACTTTAGGTACTGTTGAGTGTAAGAAGTACATATGCTAATAAAAAATTGGCTTGATTCAAGAGTAAAATTTTCAACCATGAACATCATTTTTAAAAGTTTCATCGTCTTGAATAAAGAAAAAAATTAAATTAAGAACAATTTTTTAGTTTAAAAATTTTTTTGCTTTATTCAAAACGATGAAACTCTTAAAAATGATGATTTTTTTTTCTCTTGAATCAAGCTTTTTTTTTTTTGTCAGTGTAGAAATTTATAATAAAATTAGATTATCCATCATTTAAATATATTATTCAAATAATAACATAAATTAGTAAAAGTAATTAGCTTCGATTGATCCTATATAATTTTCAGTAAAATAATTGTCAATTCGTTATTCAAGTGCCGGGTCACATGAACGATAGGTAGACAACTAAATTAAGTAATTTATTTTATTTTTCGTTCTCTAGTTGTGTGTCACCATCGCTAGTTTTTTACGATGACACATCCAATTTTAGACTCATTCCCAGCATGGTTATTTATTTTTCAATTACCACCGACATCACTTTAAATATGGGTTTAAATAAAATCCTGAAAAATTACCATTTAATTAATTTTATTTAAATTAATCAACCAATTATGGAAGTTACTATAAATGACACATTGATTTATCCTCATATTTTTTACCACTATTTCAAAACTTACTTATCTCTGCATAAATTTTATCTCATATCATTTTGTGCATTATTTTTCATTTAAGTAATTCTATATGCTAATAATTAAACGCACAATACCGCATGTATTTTTAACGCGTATCGACTCCTGAAATCACCAGATGTGACAAGTACAGATAATGAAAAAGTTCGACAATGATCATGAATAGCTGTTAATATTTTTATCACTCACAATTCACGATGTACAATAATAAACTCAACAAAGCAATTTTATCATTATCACAAACAAAAAAATTTAATTATAAAAACAAAAATATAAAACGACTTTTTAAATAAATTTATTTATTTAAACCGATGATCTAACTCGGCTGATTAGCCACAAGACGATGCGATTAATGATATCACGTCCCAAAGTAAATTACACTTGTTTATCTTCGCAAACTTGTTTACAGTTGATTAATTTTGACGTCCTTTCCTCGTTCATTACTCTAATGTTTTTTATTTATCAGAGTCCATTTAAATATTCAAATATTAATAATTTATTTTTTTAATTACCAATTTATTGTCAATGTCACAATTGGGCCCATCGTATAATTATTTACAACTTTCATTTATTTCAAATATAAATTCAATTAACGCGGAAGTATTTAATTTAATTTTAAATTTACAAAAACAAAACATTATTTCTTCAAAATTATAATTATTATTCATTTTTAAAAAATATTTATCGATGACTCAGTAGGACCGTAAAGTGACGTCAGAGTGTCCAGACCACCTCCGTATAAGTATAAACTCAGATGGGCCTCAAGGCTGATTGTCGCAACTTGGTCAATGTATACCATACCACGTTAAATGTTTACTGTCATTCAATATATATTTTAAACTATTTTATTTATTAATTATCATACTATCAATAATTATTAAAATTTTTATTGAAACAAAAAATAAAAATTACTTCTTCATCTCTTTAAAGACTTATCAATTAAAAAAAAAAAAAAAAATTTATCATTACTACTGTCGTACAATTACCCATAATTGTCCCAATTACCAAAACGTATTTATCTGCATAATTGTTTACATCGCTCGTTATTAATTAACGAGAAATTTAATCCAAATTGTATGGCACGGGGAAAAGGTCAACCGTAGTGACTACAGATGTCAAGGCGAGCTTTCGATCGATCGCGGCCCGTAATGATGATAAACGTTAGAGCTAAAGGGAAAAAACAAACAAACAAAACCGTCTGTACTGCATGCTGTATACTATAACGTTATTTGCTTCGTAAGTAACCATCAATTAGTAAAGTATGTCTTATTTACTTATTTACTTGGCACACAGAACACAAACAGTGATAGAACAGCCAATCCACGGACATAGGAGTCATAAATACAACACATTATTTTGTACATAGAAAAAAATCACACTTGGTATACCCGATAAGGCTATACACCTCGGTACAAATCGACCGGTTGTATGACGTATTAATGCGCGCCTCGGCCCACATTACTATCAGTTACGACCTTTAATTATTTTCAGTCACTTTTTGCCTTTCAAACATATTAAATAATACTATAATTTATTTGAATAAAATACTTAAATTAAAATCAAAAGGGCTGGCAATACCTGGCTCAGCTTTTTTCCAATCGCCGATTCTGCAATCGCGGCCTAGACAACATCGAAATCGCGGATCGCCCTCCACGGGGATCATACTGAATATCGCGACGTCCTCATCCTTTTCTTTGGCCCTTTTGATCCGGTCTTCGTTGATCGTTTTTGTAGTGAAACGTAAATTCGTAGACAAACGCTCTCTCAGCGCCTCAGTTGCCATTTTATTTTATTTAGTTTTGTTTTACTTTACAAAATAGAAATAAAAAATCGTAACACTGAACCCGATACTAAATAAAACACGAATTTACCCAGCAGTATACCAGCCGCAAGTAGAGTGATTACTATACGCGAAGTAAGCCGTGATCATCGATGTGCCGAGATACTTATTGAAAGAACCCGCGTTATCCCCACCCACAAACCATTTAAAACCTTTTCCTTCTCAAAGTCTCTTCCATCCTCGATTATCCTACCTCTTCTTATCGCTCCCACCTTATACTTTAAACTCACTCTCTCTTTTGCATTATACTTAGCTCTTATAGTGTTAGTGTTCGTATTAGTGTTTATGTTTTATTGTATATGGTATCGTCATTTAAACCTCTACTCCTCCATCTTCCAGTTACAGTGTTATCTCCTATCGGATTACCTTGATTTTACTCCGGTAACGCACATACACATACTAATTTTCTCGATTTTTTTGCGCCACGCGGTCTAGCCAGCGCTTAATGCTATACTTAACGTTTTATTTCCCATTTTATAAAAACGAGTAACCTTATTTCCTATTCACGATATTTATTTCTTTTTATTTAGCGTAATCACGTATTCAAGCAATAGTTTTTTTTTTTTTATCTATAACAGTGATGGGATTATAGTATTGAAGTAGAGCTTTAATTAAATGGAAAATTATTTTTAAATTTAAGAAAGTTAAGGAAATAAATAAATTAACAAAAACTAAGCATCAGTTCAGCAATCGAATGATAATATAAAATATAAAGTTGTGGTAAGCCCGCAGGCTTATAAGCCACTGCGGGTATAATATTCTTGTCTTATTATCATTATGTAGAGTAAATTATTGAGCAGGCGCAACAATTTCACTGGGTATACAAAATGTACACTCGTATAGTTAGCGTTAAAAAAAAAAAAAAAAATAATAATAATAATAATAATAATAATAAATAGAGAGAAGAAATAAATTTGTGAATAAGGCTTTCGTTATATACAATTTATAATACTATTTACATTTTGTTTTATTCATGAATGAATCTTCATTTGTTCTATTATCAAGTGCTGTATTATATCGACTATATATACATAATACACTCGACAGTTGATACACTTTCTAAGTATACATAGTTATATGTATTAGCGTACACACAACTCTTGTGTATTTGCACAGGCTAAAGTATTCTCAGAATTAATAATCTATGTTTGCTTGGTATCAAAAAAAAAATTAACTACTATACGACTATACTCCTCTACTTTGTTTAGTTGTATTTATGTTATGTCTCGCTAGATGTTTAATTACATGTTTAAAATTTAACATTTTAATTAAATTTTTCGCTCAATACTTTATACTGAGTGTTGTAATCAAAAATAGGCATTTTATTTAAGTTTTCATTGAATGTATTTTTAAAGCGATACAATTAAAAGAGTTATTTTAAATCTAATTTAAGGACTACCGTAATGAAAGAATGTCACACTTGTATTGATGTTTTAAGAGGTTGCGATAATTGTCAATGTCTAATCGCAGGGGCCTTGACTCGTTTACCTTAATAAGACCCGAATACGACTAGAGTGAGATAAAGATTTTAAAAATACAATAAAAATGAGTGAGCGCTTAGCTCAAGCCTTAACTCTGTTGATTGTTCATACCATCACATACAAGTAACACTAATCCTACGAAATTGAATTTAAAGGCTACACTGCCGAGAGCAATTAAATTGTTAAATTTAATCAATCATCGATCGTTAATATTCTCTATTGGTACGTTATGTGATCTTGAATTCTGATTTATTGCATATTGAAGTAGACTCTATATTAACTCACATTAAATAATTGGTTTTAATTAAAATTTTATCGGAAAAATAATTAATATTAATATGAACTCAACCTTAAATCAAATTTTAATTCAAATTTATAAAATAACATACCAGCGCGGAAGATCTCGCCGCATCCATCGCAGCGGCTTGCAAACTGGGCATCGTAACAATTGCCGCAATAAATCTTGTCGACCTTGCTTCCAAATTGTTTGTCCACCAAAGAGACCCTGCACTTGTTGCAGAGGAAACAAGCCTCGTGCCAGTGCTTGTCCTTGTACGACAGATCCTGTTTAAATAAATTCAATTCGTTTAAACAATAATATCATTATTTTTATTATTATTATTATTATTATTTTTATTACTAATTTACATCATTGAATGCCCGAAAAATAAGTAACAACCGCTACATTGTCTGAAACAACCCACAAAGTTGTTTGTTGGCGATTTAATAACATAACAAACAATATTTTGGCACGGAAACATGTTTTGGTGTCATTAAGAGATATTTTGATGTTTAATAATTTGGCTCGCTTGTAACAAAATTTACAAATTATTAAGTGTCTATATATATATATATATTACAAATTAAGCTATGGAGTATGAAAATGATGTTAGCCGGACTATTGCGTCGGAGGGAGAAGACGAAAATAAAAGCGATAAGATATACTGTATAGTGTATACACTGTATGGTAACTACTTATACTATAGAGCACAGCAAAAGCAACGATGTAATGTCTGCGTCGGGTGTTTCTATTTCTAGGAGTGAGTAAGCCGACACCCGTGTCTCTTGCTGTTCCGTATCTTCGTTTATGTTTTTACATTACTACATTACATTAGTTATACCGACATTATAATGTCGTCTATTGGCACGAAAATGCAATTATTACGTTGGCACCAAATAAGCTCAAGTATTACTGCTATGATTATTGGTATTATTTATTAATACTATTACTATTACTATCATTAGAGATGTTGGTAGCAGGGTTTTATTTGGGTTTACTTTTTGCTTACATAAAATTCCAAACCAGGATTAAGTGTGAAACAATAATCGCTTGGTTAGAATTTATTACCTTTGAATCGATACCGATGATCTTGTTGCACTCCTCGCACCCGTTTGCAAAGACGCTTTCGTAGCACTTGATGCAGTAGGGATGCTCGTCGCGCAGGACATAGCGCTGTCCGGTCAAGGACTCGTCGCACTGCCAACAACAGAAATGACCGCTGTGCCAATCCTTGTTCATTGCCTTTGTGTACTCCCCACTGAAAATTAACTGCAACAAATAACCATTTAGCTCATTAGTTTTTTTTTATTGTTTAGTCATAGTCATTTAATTACTAAGACAATTATTATCTTTATATTTTTTTTAATTTTCAGCAATTTAATGAGTATGAAATTCACGTTTTTATATTTCATTATGGTAATTTATATATTTTAGCGTGTATTTATTTGGACTTTTTTGTCACACTGAGATATGTACCTTGTGTGAGTGCTGGTGTATGTGCTGGCTGAATAACATGTATTTAACGCGGTTTAGACATATATAATTTAGCCTTTTAAAAATAATAACAATAATTTAAGAGTTATCAAAAAAATAAAATGTTTGTATGAATTTTTTCAACAGATAGATATCATATCATTTTTTATAATATTTATCTGCAATATGGATAAAAAATCATTGTCATTATTGTTATTATGATTGATTGTGTTTTAGATATTTCGATTGCGGAGCCAAGAATTCGTCAAGATAAGCGGTTTTTTTTCTTTAACAACTCTTTATACAGAATAGAAATAGACCCGTGTCAGGACTAAGTTGTCTTGGAATCGGTATCACGTTCTCAGGGAGACCCCTTGACCTGAGCAGTCACTGGAGCCGCCCTTCTGCTAGGAGAATCAAACCGTGATAAGAAACAACATAAAAAAAGTAAAAACTAAAGTGATAAGATAAAAAAAAATGTAATTGAAGGAACGCGAATGTAGGATTTTCAGCCAGCACATACTCGTCGATGGCGTGATGGTTGTTCTGAGTGCTGTCGACCTCGGTGATCGTGACCTCCGCGTTCTGGTCGCTGCTCTCCCTGCGTTTGGTCGTCTTCTTCACTTTGCGAACCTTTCGCTCCGTGGTGGTGAACACTGCACTTTCTACCTCCGCCATTCTCCCTCGATTGCAGTCTCGTAACGTTCGGTAACGAATAAACCAAAAACGGCGACGTACAAACGACCAAACGTTTAAACTTTTTTATATTTATTTACTTTACTTTACTTTAGTTTAGATTCGAATTAAAATCGGTTCGTTAGGATAAGACAGTCGATTAGATAATAAATAAATAAATAAAATAAATAAAATAAAAGAAAATAAAGATGAGTGAAAATCAGAAAGCACCGCGTTGTTCCCTTGGAGGTTTGCGAACTGACTGAAATCTAGGAACAGAATGCGTTGGGCGTCATCCTCATATCGAGACGCTATTTTCAGCGTCCCGACGACTCCAGAGTGCGTCTCTGACCCCTTGTCCTAACTTGATCATGATCCCTTGGCTATGTTTTCCCCTACTCTCTTTGAAATTTAACGTTCTAACCCAGTCCCACTACCGTTATTTGTCGTCCATCTCTGTCTGGATGTGTCTTGGTGTCTTGGTTGTCACCGTCAGCCTCGTCTTCGTGGTCGTGCTGTTGGTTGTCAGTCCGTAGCGACCTCCTCATCCATCGTCTTGTCGCCTGCCGCTGTCTGCGATGCATGTGTGCCGGGTGCAACTCTTCTTCGCGGACAGTTTACACTCCACCAACTAGACCGTCCAATGATATTTTTCACGGTATCCTCATCGTCATCAACAGTACCAGTACTAGTACCAGCACCAGTACAGTTACTATCACAACTATCTTTCTTCTCTCTCTCTCTCTCTACCTCTCATAATAATTAAACCAGTGTTCTCTGTCTTTTACTCTGACTCTGTCTCTGCTTGGTTAATCTCTTTCTCAAAGCATACCACTATATACTATACACTAACAAGACTGAGTGTATTTTAGTGCCTGACGTTAACGCAAACTAAACTCAGTTCAGGAAACACCACAAATTCCAGTGGTATCACTTTTACTCTTCTCAATACGATGATTCTATTCATAATATATACAATTTTAAAAGAATTTAATAAATGAATAAATTAATCGGGTTTTTTTTATTGAGAGATTATTTTTTTTTTTCCGGGATTAAATATTTATAAATAAATCTATTTATAAAAATAGATATTTATCAGCAGGTGAAAATAAATGTCGAAAGTTTTTTATTAGTCGAATAAAATTTTTATGAAAAACATTATTTTGACGTTGTTGGACATTTTTTTTATTTAGCTACGATATAAAGTTGAGGAAAATAAAAAGAAAGTTGAGACAATGTTCGCGACACTTTGATCTTGTGCCAAGCAGGTGGTTTTTAGACATCATGCCGGATTTTGACATTAACAAGTAAACGTAAGATAGAAAAGAGACTGAAAAGGATTTCAGAGTGGGGATTTTAAAAATTACATAAAAAGATGCCCGCAAGTAGGTCGGCATTTTCCACGCATCACCAATGTCTGGTACACCCACGCGTACTCAATATATTGTTAATATTATTTTATCTCTTTTTTTTTTTTTTTTTTTATTCATATTCATACGACTGCTGATGAATAAGTCTGGTAACGTGAGATTTATTTAAATAGTTTTATTTTGTCTCTAAAGTATTGATAACGAATAAGTATAAACGTCACCAATATGTAATATTATTGCGTCCCGATAAATCCTATTGACATTGACTTGAGGCGAGATATCTATACTAAAAGCTATGGCATTGACGACGTAATAATTATTGCCATTTATTATTCAAAGCCACTTAAACATCAGGCAATAAATTACCAATACTCAGCCTCAAGTTTGTTTGATTAATTGATCATCATTTTACGAATTAGGAATCGCAAAACCGTATGCAGATTGCTTACCTCTAAACAAGTGATGCAATTGTTATTGTAATCGCAATAGCGATAGCTTTTACATAAAGTGATGCAAATAAACTTTAAAAAAAAAAAAGGCTTGATAATTTCGTGCGACATTGTTCGTATCAGCTTGTATGGAACATCCATGATTTAATAAAAAATAAATAAAAAGACTATCGTCTTTCACGCTCGCAGTATTTCCCACCCACGTAATTGAATTCTTACGATTTAGATATTATTTTCGTCTGCCTCACGCGATGAACAGAGTCACCCGGCACCACAAAATATGCGTGCCCGCGTCGTCACTCAACTCAAGAGTGTGAATATTAAATCATAAATAGCTAAATACTTAAAGTATTTTTGAATAACAAATGGGTTTATAAATAAACTTTATTTTTTCAAACTTTAAAAAATAAATGAATATTTTTTATCAGAGCTAAAAAATCCATTTAGTTGAATAATTATTATTTTTATATCCATCCACGAGAAGGCAAAATAAATATAAACTTTTCTTTACATAATGATAATAATAATAGTAACAAAAATAATTGGTGACCACTAGAGGATTTACGTTTCATAAATAAAAATAAAATTTACCCAAAAAGCTTTACTAGACTCAACGCTGGGTATGCAGTACTCAATGGGGCCTGTAGTTTGTAAAATACTTTCATCTTCAGCATCCACAAACTCTTCTTCATCTAAAGAATCCTCTTCACTGCCCAGCAATATGGAGGGTCGCCAACTATTCGTAGCCTCAGCATCGTCAGAGCTCGTTCTAGAAGGAGCTGGATCTGCAGTGGAAGCCTCAACCCTCGAATTATTCCCTCTAAATTGTAAACCGTTATTCGGAACGTAATGGACTCCCTGCATGGACTTGTCGGGATCAATAGACCCGTACCCGACCGTGTAGTGATCATCAAGCGATCGTGATTTAGGAAACCGTTTGCTCACAAACGACCTCCTCCCGTTTTTCATCCACCCATCTCTTATGCTTTCTGACTTTGGACAATATTTCCACGGAGGAATATCATAATCATCTATCTCGAGGTTTGTTTGCACTTCGACAGACACCAGGCTCGACCTGCTCGTTGACATAGATTTTTCACTGTCAGTAGGTGACGTATTGGTCCATTCATCACGATAGAATTCCTTACTGCTATTAGTCTGTATCGAAATGTCCGATTTGCGTCTCTCCGGGTCCCTTTGTCTTTTGGTAAGATTTTTGGTGCTCAAATTTTCCGCAGACTTGCTTATTTCTGCATTTTTAGACTTCAACCTTGTGGACTTTCTCAAAACACTGGTCGGTCTAACTTTGTGTCTCTTCAGGCTAGATTGTGAAACGGGGCTGGTACCTCGGTCTTTAATTCTACTTTCTCTGTCTATGTCTTCATCTCCGTCAATCGATTTAACATGATCACTATTCGAGACTGACAAGAGGCTTTCATTGGAGGAAAGCTCCCCTTTAAAACTACTGACTGAAGTTATCTCAGAAGGCATTGCTGAGTGATCTGGAGACTTGGATTCAGTTTCTCTATTCTTAATGCAACTTTTTTTAAGCTGTGATTTTCTACAAACAACGGGATCCTCAAACGAAGAATGAGTGGACGAAGAGGATCCTCCATTATACCTCGTGACAACCACAGGCACGTGTCTAAAGTGTTCTTTCGTTGGCAATTCATTGCCCGAGTCGTTTTCAAATGTCGTGCTCAAGTCTAACGACGAGCTCGAGGTTGATAAATTTTTCGGTAGAATCGGAATGGGTTTCAATATTCCCTTGCTCTCTACCTCGCCAATTAATTTATCCGGGTCGTTAATCTCTTCGAGGATTAACCTATCATCATTATCGTCGTCATACCCATCATCTTGCTCGTTATCATAATCGAAACTCTTTGAAAAATCACCCCTCGTTAATATTACAGCCAATTGATCTCGCGTGCCATCAACCAGCGCCTGCCAAGGCTCCTCCGCGTCCTTCTCAATCAGCTCAAAATCCAAACTAAGCCTGGAATCAGCCCGTGATACGCTTCTTAGATCACGACTGCTCAATTCCGACAGAGTACTCCCGTCCCCGAACCCATGTGACTTTAATTCACTTCGTACTCTCAAACTGTACTCGTGAAGATTTTCCAGTTTATTTCGCGCACTAGAGGGCATCCTCAAGTCTTCCGAGTGACTGATCCCGCAAAGGGAGTCATGGAAGCTCGGATTATCCACCATCGCCGGGCCATGGTAAGACAAGCACGGTGCCGGGGTTATTGTTATTTCCTCCGTTAAATGTTTCAAGCATGCAAGCAATTCAATTGCGCCTACACACCCCACCAGAATCGATAACAGCAGACCCATTTTCTTTTTTTTTTTCTACTATTTCGCTTCCAAAGTCTCTTATCTCAGTAAAGTATCAATTAAAGTTTCGTTCTACCGTCATCTAATTGGCGAAACAATTTCAAAATTTTTATAATTCCTTACGAGCAATTCTGGCGTTAATGTCCACATAATAAAAATTTAATTTGAAAATGCCAAAAAGGTATACAGGTGTCTCTTGAATTAGCAAATTCTCTCTTGATTGCGCAATATTACCCACCCACATCGACGCCTTTATATGCTAAGAGAAAATATTTAAGCTCACATTCATTTCACGGCTTCCATTACGCGAACTACTTTGACACGCGTCGCAGCTCGTATTTACTCGAACTAAAAAACCATTTTGACCTCTTTCGTTTTACTTTTCACTGCACTGTTTTAATTAATGACAATTGCCAGTCAGATAATTATCGAATATTTAGCAATTTTTATTGAATGTAAATTGTAAAAAAAAAAAGAAAAAAAAATTATAAAGATAAAAATGAAATAAATGTCTACGATAGGCCTAGATTCACCGGATGTGAGGCTACTCAGCAGAACTGTGTTTATTTAATTCGTTTGCAGATGAACGAGATCGGACAAAAACTGGTGATGCAAAGTTGCTCCCTCAAGTTGGTAGGTAGAACATCACCTCGATATAATAATGTATACATATGTATCTCTATCTGTCGCTGACCAACAAATACATTCCCGGGCTGAAACGCTAAAGTTAGATTAATGTGGCCCTGAGAACTTGGTTACATCGTTGCACAGCGTGTCCTTAAAAACATGTTACCGATCGATGATCGTCGTCGCTAATTAATTGCCGCCGGTAAAAACTTTTTTTGGCACCGGTGCGCTGGTAGTTTTATTCCAACAGACGAGGCTTTTGCTTTTTCACATTCATTCTAGACTATAACAAAGACTAAAACGACATTCACGACAATGAGAGCTCTTTGTAACAGTTTAGTATGCTTGTTCTTTGGTTCACCGAATTTATTTACGAGATTTTGTTATAAGATCTTGGCAATGATTTTGTCATTTTTCGCACCTACATTTACATGATTCACATTTTAACGATGTAAATTATTTTATTCTTTACATTCAAAGGAGTAATCATTAGACCATTTTACTTCTCGTCTATTTTTACTTTATTCGATTTTAAATAAAATGAAATATTTTAATATTTTATCTGAGGGAGAATATCTTCACTAAAAGCATTAAAAAAATGTCAAACATGTCGAATGAATAATGCATCCATTTAATTGCCAGATAGTAATATCTTTAATGTATAAAATATTAACTTATCGAATTATTCAATTCTATCTTCTTATTCTGGTTATTTTATTGTAAAATTCATCATAAAAGATTTTAATAATTTAAATCCATCAAAATACTAACATGAAAAACTGGAACATCTATTTTGATTTAAATGTAATTGTAAATTAAAAATAATTTAAGTTACCACAGAAATCATTTTGTAGATGAATTTTTAATCAAAAACATAAAAGCTTCAATCAGTTAAACAATCTAAAAAGTTTTAAACTACAATCCAATGCAGAGAACATCGAATTATTTAAAAAGAATCAAACAAATATAGAGTATAAAACATAGACTTCTAAAAAATTCAAAGAGGAAATTAAATTGATAATGTTCGTACTTCCGTTACAGAGAATCTTATAATATGAAATTAATGACTAAAATAAAGTTAGTTTAGTATCAATATTCTCGAAGTAATCGAAAGAATGGGCCCTGATTCCTTATTAGTTTAAAATTAAAGCGCGCGCGTTGAGCGCGCAATTTAAATTTCTAGAAATAAACATAATTAATGTCTTTAATGATAAATTAGAATTTTAACGTCACAAACTGTCTTTCAAAGAAACTGTCAATAATTCCAAAATAGATATAATGACTTTATTCATTCAATATACTGGAAAATATTGACAGTAATAATAGATATAAAATGAAATTTTATAGTTACAATATTTAGTCGTCTACTCTCAGGTATGTCAGTCACTTAAATAATGCATGAATCTTAACCATTAAGTAAAATATCGAGTTTCATGAACAGACTTTTTAATATTAAAATACTATACCGATTTATACATTGAAAGATCAGTCGAGACAGCGCGATAGATCTTATTTTGGTTACCTCATCGGTTACAAGCCAACGTCAGGAGATCATCATCCATACGCGTTTTGCGCGCGGTACGAGCTTTGGCCGTGTGCCAACCATTAAAAAATCCCGGCGTTTATGCTCTCATCCACGTTATCAAACTCACGATTTATAAATTTATTTTTAAACTTCTCAACTGGTCATCAACATTGCCGGATTATTATCCAGTCGGTGTTAATAAATTTTTTCTCAAATACTATTTTCATAATTATTGTTATTTATTAGAGAATTAAGAAATTACAAATTAACAAAGCAAACATTACGGTGGTTATTATATGTATTTTTTTATATATGTTTATTCATATGTCATGATGAATGCTTCCGTTTAACGACAGCTCCCGCGTTCTACTCATATTTACATTTTTTCGATAATCTTATACTCCCATTCGTTTAAAAATCTTCTGAAGTATCTTCTAAAAATAAATATTATCTGAGTTGAACTTTAATGATCATTTCAATAGTCTGCCCGTTTATTTTTATTTTATTTATTATTTTTAGCCGGCAAAATTGAATGGTTTTCAATAAAAAAAAAAAAAATTAAAAAATATTTTATAAAAATTAAATACAAGTACACAAATAATTGATTTTAGAGTACTTATTTATGAGTAAGTATCGAGTCCAGTACATTAATGTTAAATTTAACGGTTCTGTTTTAATGAGTATGGAAATACGGGCATAGGCTGGAAGAAAACGGAACAATGCCAACGTTATTTCGGTCGATGATCGAATCGGCCATGGTCGTTCAGACACGTTGAATAAAAACTTGAAAGTATAAATAATAAATAAATAAACAAACAATTTACATAAGTTGAATTAAAAATTAATGTTCCACTTGAAAGTTGAGCGAAGCAGTGAAAAATTGATTGTTCTAAATAACAAAAAAATAAGAGACTAGTAATAAGAGATTTGGCATTGAGGAATGGTCAAGAGCAAAAACCGTGTCAGAATGCACGGCTCGCAAAACTTGCAACCCTTTCGCACGCTCTGAGACACTAACAGATCAGAGCAATAGCACAGAGCAGAATATATGTATAGAGTTAAACATCTAACGTCTGCCATTGGAAATGCTTCCATCGAGTCTCGATTATTTCCGTACCATGAGCTTCATCGACCCACTTACATCCATTCATCTTCGCTTCTCTTCAAATTTAAATTAGCTAATTTCATGTGACATTTATGTATATTTATGAAGAAATAGATAATTTTTTTTTTCAAACGGTCTTGAAATTTTGTCGGAAAATATTAAATAGAAGGTCATGTTAAGATTTCAGTCCTTATGGGGAAATAATATTTATGGTCAAAATTTTACATTTTCCATTCAAATAACACAAGAGAACATTTTTTTAATCTTTGAAATTTTATATCTCATCAATTGAACGATCTCGAAAAAAAGTCTCATGATTTTAAAATAAATTTATTCTTTTAAAAATTATAAAAGTTGGACATATCCTAAATTATAAGATTGTTTAAATTTTCTTCAATTTTCGGTGAAAAAAAATTTTTTATTATTTAACTCAAACATTGAGAATAAATTTCAATGAAAAAAAAAATGTGGCTGAGTGTTTATCAATTTTCAGTTTTAAATTTCAAAGTTCATAGCTTTGAAAGTTGTTACTATTTATATAGAACTTATATCAGTCCCAAGATTTTTTTCTCGTCAATAATTAGCTTTCAATTGAATAAAATTGCAGTTGTTTGTAAGATCTTGAGGCAAACTTTATTTAAATAAAAGTTTCTGCTGCAAAAGCAGCGATCGTCAGCAGAGTTGGGAGAAATGTGTATTTTTTTCGTGACGTTGAGCCTTATCTCGAGGTGAGCAGGCAGATGTAATTTTCTCGACACGAAGTTCCATGCTAATTATCGAACCCTGGTACCGATGTTACCGTGTCAAGGTTACCGAAATAAGTTAAATAAGAGTAGAAGTGGGAGTGGGAATAAGAAATGAAAATAAAGCGTGATTGTAAGAAAAAGACAAAGAAGAAATAAAAAATAGTGAGAAAAATAAAAAAAATAAGGAAATTAAAGCGCACGGAAGATTGTGAATTTAAATCTAATGGTCTCGCGTGCAAAATTTTCTAGTCACGTATTTAAATAGCTTAATGATAAATCACTTGAGGTAACACTTTAAATCAAGAAAGAATAACGGCGGCCATTTAGAAAAAAACTCGTAAAAATGACAGAAACGCGCCAGTAGTAAAACAAGTTTTATGTGAAAGAATAAGAATAGAAAAAGATCTGTGAAGAGGAGAAGAAAGAGGAGGAGGAGAAGAAATGGCTTAGAGGTGAATTATTTACATCTTGCTGTTGCTTTATATCGCACTGGATATTTTCTCGTTGACACAATCTCAAAATAGACAATGACTTATAGAAAACAACCGTAAAACTCATCTTCTTTGGTGTATATAAAACCCAGAAGAACGAGATTTTTGGCGCATAAACCTAATCGGCTTCACAAGACACACTTGCCTAATATCTCAACCGTTTCTACTTATCATAACATAATCAACAACTTGAATCTTCAACAGTAAATGAAATCAAAAGAAGAAACTTACCTAATATAAAATAAACTCTTATTTCAAGAGAGTTTACTGATTACTCGATATGTATTTTTATTTGGATAATAAAATTTTCGTTTGATGTAGACGATGATGACCTGAGAAGAGTTTACGATAGACGCTCGAGTTTCTGTGACTGACTAATAAAATCTTAAGAAGGAGGATACAAGTCTGGATGCAAAAAGCCCCGCCATCGTGGGCTACACCAAATATCAAAATAGATTGCGTCAATTGCTATAATTCTTAGTAATATGCTCGTAATATATTATATTTTTCATTGGAATCAAACCAAATTTAATAGTTATTATTAATAATAATAATAATAATAATAATAAAAATAATAGCGACATTAATACCCACAATAAAGTGACAAGAAACCAATAAATCAAACAATAAAAACGAATTTTAAATATAGAACAGATAATTTTTAATAATCAACTACATAATTATTAATAATCGCAACCGTGAATCGACAGGACGTCAATCGTTACTTCAACAGGTGGTCGATAAATCTGTGCACCGTGAATTCATTCCGTTTACAAATTTTCTCAATCAAAATAAAGAGAAAATCATTATTGATATTATTAATATTAATATAACCATCAATATTATCTTTTCATCATCCCCGTATTTATTAATGTAATCATAATTATCAACGATGAAATAATTTTGCCTGGAGCAATTAGCGTAGCGATGAAATTTGTTCACGAATAACAAATTTATTTCCCAGCGATTAGATATAAATTCCGAGTTTTCGGTAAACTCAGGTCTTGCTATTTTAGTACATCTAAATTAAGTCCGGCCTAGTTGCTGGTAGATGTAGTTGTACGCCCGACTATCAACACAACCCTCGCCGACATCGCTTTATTTTATTGTTAACGCAATAAGTTTGGTATTTTCAGGGATTCGGAGAATCTTGTTAATTTGTCACTGAGTTAACAAAATTTACTTTTATATAATTTAATTTAACATATCAATGGACAACGATTGCCCAATTTACGGTTTTTAAATTCCAAGAATATTAATTGCCTCTCAGTGGCTAATTAATTTACTTAATTATTAGTGTCTGCACTTGGATTCAGTTCAGAAGAGTTTTAGTTCTGAAATAAATTAAGTTTCGAATAAAAAAGCTCGTCGATAAAAACGCGAGTAGTGGATAAAGCAGATGTGTCAGACGTCGGACAGTGTCGGAATAGTGACATGGGCTGACCTCTACTGGCTTTACTACTTATTTCATGAAAAAATTGGAGGTAATGCAGAAACATATTCTCAGACAATTAATTTTTTTTAAACTATTTTTGATCTAATTAAATAAATAATTATTCTATAAAATAATAAAAAACTAAAAAATGTATCTTAAATAAATTTTTGTTGATAAAATTTTAATTATCAACCGCGATCAAAAAAACTCGGCTTTGCCGGTAATAAAACGGTATCAAAGAAAAATCTTGAATCTTAAAAATTTTCAGTAAAAAATGTAATTACCTCATCACAGGCAGCGCAACGAGGCTTAAGTCTTTCGGCATAATGTCTTTCGCAGTATAATGCGTCATCGTGAACGCAATAGGCTAAATCAACGAGTAGTTCATGACACTGAGCACACTGGAAACATGAGGGATGATAGAGCAGTCCAAGTTTGCTTGCCATCACGGCGAGACTCCCATACTTAAAAGGCTCGTGACATACTCCGCATTCCTGAATAATAATAATAATAATAATATTTTATTAGATTAGTTTTTTATAGGAAGAGAGAATGATAACTAATAATCGTAAAACCCAAAAAATTTAATAACTTACATGTCCACGTTCAAGTACTTCCTGGACACTGCCGATGTCCAAAGCTATTTCATTTCTTGCGGCCATAAAATCGTCAGCACTTGCCGCGTGCCTGGGGTCCAAGTGCCGGCAATAAGTCCGCGCAAGATCTTGCTTAGGTAATTGAGTCGCCAGTTGACGGTCTCGATGACGTTCTCCAGGAGTTCCTAGCCGCGGAACTGATATTTCCGGCAACATTGAGAAATATTCCTCCACCTGAAATAAATATTTTATTATTTATCAGTACAACGCAAGAAATTGGGAGTGAATTTTTATTCTCATCACTCGGAGTACCGAAGTGAAGAAATAAAACAACACGGAATTTTTAGACTAAAATAAATTTTAATTAGCTGCAATGAGTTTTATATGCCAAATTATTAACAAATACTTTAAATGATTTATCTGAAGTTTTTAAATATTTAAACTATATTTTTCTTAGAAATTTTGATGCAATTTTTTTTTTAATAATAAAATTTATTTGATAAATTAAATTAAGGTAAAAACTCATATTAATTAAAAAAAATCTCTAAACACGTATTTTATAATTTTTAAATGAATAAAAACTATTTTTTTATTTTTATTAAAAATTAATAATTAATAATAAATTTACTCTTAATAATTGTATTTACTCTTAATAATAAATTAATAATTAATAAATAAATAAATAATTTACTCCGTGAATTTTTTACATTGTAGAATTATTTTGATTGATTAAAATTACAAAATGATAGTTCAGCTGTATCTCTTGGCACAAATCCCACAAAATAACTAATAAAACCAGATGCAAACACTTGACTCAATTAAATATTGCGATCGTAAATTTATGAGTATGTTCATAATAAAACGCATAATCGTTAAACTTGTGGGAAACAGTCAATATACTTTAATAATACTTAATCTTTACAATCTTTATCCATTTATTTATCAATTTATGTCCCGTAATACTATATATTTTTAATTCGATCTATAAATCAATTTATTACTTCATCAATCAACTAAACGAACAACTCGATTGGTTTTAATTACTGACAAAGAAGACTAAAGTAATAGAATCTAGCAGCAGCAACGAGATAAATTTTCTCAAAACTACGTTATGGAAATCCCTGGCCAGCTGCCAGAATTTTCAGTACTCAGTAATGTTAATGTTAATACTAATACTAATACCGATATCTTAAAGTGCAGCAGTAAAAAAGTTTAACAATAAAAATAATTAACAGCAGCAGGCGCATTAAAATATTAAACAATTTTAGTTTAAATAAAAGTCGCAGTGGGTCCAAATACGTCATTGGCTAATTTACGAATTTCCCAACGACCTCAACTGCAATCACTCTTTGAAGCTTTATTTAAAGATTAATCGCCGCTGACCGTTTGTGATTACCACGTGCTTGGATTTTATCTCATCAGATCTACGTCAACGTCTTTTCATCTCGTCAGTTGTTTGAAATGTCAAATAATATGCAAGCCATTTAGTGTTTACTTAACATTATAATTTAAACTTATAAACTAGCTGTTGATACCTTATGAGGCGGCAGACCGGGAGGTGCCCAAGCCAGTCCTCGATCCCGCGGTTCGAACCCGATGTAATTGTTAGAGCCCTCGCTTTTCAAGCCTAAACGCGCTCTCACTGACACCCATTCTTCATGACAGACATCGTGGACTTCCTTCGGGCACTTGCAGCTCGTACAATTTTTCCTGAGAAAAATAAAACAATTAATTTCCGGTAATTAAAAATAAATATCTAGGACACTGCAAATACATATAGTTTATTTGATAGAAGTGATAAAAGAATGATAAATATTTATCCTCCCACTAGTTTTATTGAACGCTTCGATACACTCTGCTATACCTGATCTTATGAGTCATAAAAGTTAACTATCCGCGTGATTAAATTTTTTTTATTTTGCATTGGATTTTTTTTTATATAAATCCGATGATTGAAAAAGTTCATTATTTATTTATTTATATTTTATTCACTTATTTAAGTGAATTTTTAAGATATATAAACTTTAATACGCTGTCGGATTTTATTTTGATAAAAAATTAGTAAAAAATAATTTATTGAGTTCTTTAGTTTTAATAAAAATAATAATAAAAATAAAAATGAGGTTATTTATAGTCGTGAATAATGTTTGAGCAATTAGTAATAAGTGTTAATTAAACAGTCCTTGAACTTGGATAATAATTTAATGCGTTATTATAAAACAATCAACAAAATGCATATTCATTTGATATTCATTAAAGTTACACCGCGCCCTTCCGGACGTCAGTTCAAGGTCTTATCACTCATACAGTGCGAATGTACTTTAAAAATGCATTTCTCCACTCCCCGTAATCTTATTGCGATAAACCTATATTTTATTATAAATTACTATATATCAATCAATTGTAAATTTAAATAAATTATCATGCTTTTATATTTGTTATTTTTATATTTATATTAATTGTGTTAATTTAGCAGCACTATTTTTAGAAGGATTAAAATAATTTTGATTTGCGTCATTGCCAATGTCAAGTGCTGTTAATGAAAAGTTTGGAAAGCGTCCCGATAATGTCATATAAACATTTATTTTTTTCAAAGATTTGACATTTTTAAAAATCACGGTAATGTAATACGAGGGCGGAAAAATGATAGAGAGTACGAAGAAATGTTAATCGTCCCTCGTTGCTCGTTAGATGCAATTCCACACACCATTATCCCCAAGTAGTATAACATAGCAGCTCTAATGAGAACACGTTGCGCTGAAGAATAGGTGGGGTTGTAAATGTCGTCACCACCCCGCGTTACATTCAACACCATTCAACATTCTCCAGAGCCCGTACATAGATTACTATAATGTTATTATAAAAATAAAACAGCGAGATAATAAACATGAATTTCTTTAATAAACACATTAATTAAGACATCACAAAAAAGGAGCTAGAAAAAAAGTGCTGTCACATGTTGACGGCGTCTCATTAAAATTTCTCACTTAAAAATAAAACTAATGTAATGCATCCTGTATGTGTAGAGATAAAAAAAAAAAAAAAAAAAAAGAGGTTAAAAATAACGAAATAAATAAAAAATACATTCCGTTAATTCTTAGGCGAGTTGTCGCGAGCCGTTAGCGGGAAACAACAACGCCCTGATAATAAATGAGGGTAATCCGATTTACACCGTGGTGGTAAAAGAGTACCATAGTAAGAGTACAGTAGTTGGTATAAAGTATGTACAGTAGTAAAAGGAACTAACTAATCTCTAGCTGTGGAGACTCATTGCTTTCACTTTTTTAGTCCATGTCCAGTTGGTTTTGTCCTGGTTTAATTCATTTATCACTTGACATACTTTTATTTTTCATAAATCTTTTACTTACGTTTTTTCAAAGATTTAGGACAGTCTATTCAGTCCAAAATTTTTTTAGTACGAAATTTATGTATAATTTAAAATATAAGCAAGATTTAAAAATTGTTAATCATATATCGTCTATCTAAAACAAAGTAACTGTATAATTAGACCTGTTTTTTTTTTTTGTATTACTAGAATTTAATTTTCGCGCGCAAGCGCGCGCCCTGACTATGGAGTTTGCATATATTTTCATGCTTATGATATATTCGACCAATCACGTTACGAATAGTTTGATGCCACATACATTTCATCTCAATTTTATATTAGGATTACATTTTTTAGTATTTTGAGTAAACAATGTAAAAATTTTTTTATTAATTAACCTTCTATGTCTAAATCAAATTTTTTATAAACTTAAAGTGTAAACCTCTTTCTTATAAGACACATTAAAAAACATCTAAGTAACGTTAGTTACTGTTTTTTAAAATTAGAGCAGCCAAATATAAAAATTAATGCATTGATAAAAAGATAAGCTTAATTAAAAAAAAAAATCTTGTTTCAAAAAAAATTTTTTCTTAATTTTATAACTCTTTCTACTTGGTACAAGAAAAATTATTCAAAATAATTTTCATAGATCAAGATTTTTTCTCTTAAATCAATTATATCTTTTTATCAGTGTATAAATTTTTATAATAAAAAATCTTTAAGAAAAAAAAAGATATATAAAGCGCTATTTAAATTTCTGTTTCAAAAATAAGTACTAATTACTAATAAACCAAAAATAAAAAATTTGTTGCAGCATCCATCTGATCTAGGCGCTGACCAAACTAAAAAAAAAAGAAACAAACTCACTCACACGAATCAGAAAAAGGACTTCGTGACTAGTAGCATACCTAACGATCAGCTCGAAGAGTTCATACTGATCGAAGACCTTACAGTAGAGATGTAGGACCCGAACGCAGGCCCACTTCATCCCCGGCCAAGGAGCCAAGCTAAGGTCCAGACCGTCTTCCAAAGGACAGCGACCAATGGTCATACTGCGCCTCAACTCTGCGCCCGAAATCGTGGGGTAGCGATTCCTTCGATCCAACATGGGATTCCTCTTAGCAGAAGCAGTAGCAGCACGTGGAAGGTCAGTAGAAACACTCGCGTACTGCTTTATCTCAGCCCCTGACAAGGTCGGATACCTTTCACGGCGATCCAGCGAGGCGGTTTTCCTGTAGAAGTCCTTTTCGGGAACAGAAGGACACCTGGTGCGCGTGGAAGGCGGACTGATCGGTCGTTTCTTCGGTTCTGGAATTCTTACACGCACTCCCTGGGGCTCACCACCCGGGCCAGCGACACACGAGACTCTTACTTCGACTTTAGGCATCTCGTGACCCCCAGAGCGTCCTTTGGGGCTCATCCTTAAGGATGAACTCGGAGAAGACGGTGGTAGAGCTGGCGTCGTGTGACGCCGTTGCAATCGCTCGTTCAGCGTGTCGTCTCGTAAGATTTCATCTTTGTCACGAAAACACAGCTATTCATTCTTTGACTCCATTATTGGGTTTGTTCGTATGTGTATGCATATGTAGGTGTGGACTCTGATCCATCAGTCACCATAGTAAAGACTTTGCTAAGGATTAATATGAGGATTTTTCGTTACAATCGACAATAACGGCACTATTTACCTCCTAAATAAACTTTTAATGATGTTACCTTTTTAGGTTGTCAATAAATAATAATAAAAGTAAAATAAAAAAAAAAATGTCGACAATAACATTAAATCAATTGGTTTCTTTCTCTATTGTATTGATAGTGAAAACCGCCTTTATTTTGACCTTGTTATCGACTTAAATGATTGCTCTGAAAAAATATTGTTCCTTAGACTTAATAAATTTATCGTACTTGGATTACGCCCTCACATTTTTTTTTTTTTTTTTTTTTTTTTTCATCAAACAGACTGAAAAGTGAACAATAAACAAAATTAAAGTGCTTTACGGTGTTCCAAAGATATCACGATTAAAACATACGATATATGTATTTATATTTGTATTTGTATTTGTATGTAATTCAGCAATCTGTTTTCTCACATTGGCTGATAAATCTTACCGAGCAAGAGTCTCTAATTGCGATAAATATATTTAATTATTTAAAAATAAAAAAACACGTACTCTTAATGGAAATAAAATAGCCAGCACTAGCGATAATATGTACTCATATTCATTATTTTATAAGGATAAATCCCGGTGTAGATGCATAATTTGACGACGCATTGTACACGCGCAGGTGTTATCAAAAGAGGCCATGAGATTTATCCTACACACTCTCAGGTATATCTCACGAGAAGTTAAGTCACCCAAAGGCGTTATTATATCTTATATCTGTTTGTTGTGCTACCTATAGGCTCAGCTAATGGCTATTAATTAGATAAAAAGTGTTTATGCTTGTATTTAAATGCTATTATCGCTTTAAAATTGTTTTATATTTGCTTATCATCTGCAAACGTGATCACTGATCATTTATTATTACTTTTATTAATTTTGCATTTTAAAATTAGCGTCACAAATCACTGATTTGTCAACACACTGTTAGTGTTTTTAAATGCTAAAACTTAAACTGCTGTAAAAGATGGACAACTATATTGAATGGAAGCTCATTAATAATAAAACTATTATTGTTATTTTGGTATGTACGTGCAATAATAATTGACCGACAGTGCATCCACAGAAGGAGCATATTTCAAACTGGCGCCACGAGGTTCAGTCCACACGTAGGTAGGCTGTACCTCTACACGCGGAAAAACATTCTACGTGTGATTCAAGAATTACTCGCGCACGCGCAACATCTCGGTGTCATCTGGTAAGAACTTGCAAAAGCTTTTCTTCAAATTTAGTTTTATTTTTACACATTTAGGGTCTTTGACGTTATGGTTATTGTTATTATTATCATCACGATCACAACCTATTTAAATGTATTCACAATAAGCGAGATCAAAAACTTTTAAGTGGCTTCTTAAATGCTTATCTCGAAATTGCTCTAACAAAATAGATTCAAAGCTTAGCAGTACTCACACTCTCGCAGATTTATTATTATTTTTATCCGAAAACTTTATCCTTGTTTACATAATTAAAGTCTTAACTTTAATTTACACGTTGTTTATGTTTATTTTACCCCGATTAGTTTTGTGTTCAGTCATTACATTGAAAGAGGCATAAAGTTTACTGAAACCACTTAATTGCATAAAAAAATCACGGGTAAATTTATATTAAATGCAAGCTTGCTGTACGCATTAATGCTAATAATGTCGAGTTTGCGATTTCATTATTTTATTTATATAAAATAAAATAAAAAGTATTTCACTTGTACTGCTTCGTTTTATTTAGCTCGAGTTTATTCAATGTTGGCAATTTTTAAAGCTAAGTAATCATCGCTGGAAAAAGTTTCAAAACTTGTTACTGTCATTACTGTTATTTTTATTCTATTATAAATTATAAAGTTTATTTAATTTTAGAAAACATTTTGCAAAGTTTAGTGAGCGTAAAAATTCAGTTATAATATAAGTACACTACACAAAAGTGTAAAGTAAAGGCGGGGTGAAAAAAAAATAGTCATCTTCTGTAATTTCATTAGTGAGATGAGCGAACTGACGACGATGACGGGAATGACAGACTGACGACCTTGGTTTCCTCGTCTTTGACTACTGTCGGGGCTTTTTACGTAAGGCCAAGCTTGTGAGCTGAGTGAGCTGTAAAATCTACGTCAAAGGCACTGGCTAGCAACCTAACAGTCTTCTAACTCTTCAAAAAGCTCACCACTATCTCCCTAGATCCATCACACATACTGAAAAATTACGTACGTTTAACCGTGGACTGATGCCTGAATAGTATGACAGTTTGTTGGCAACTTCACTCACTGAGTCTGTTGTTACTAATAGTTTCCTGTAGTTTCCTCCATTCATATAACTATACTACTTTTTTTTTCTCTATATAATTAATTATTTTTCGTGTTAACATAACGCTTGTTTATCAACAATTTACTCTGTTTATTATTATTATTATTATTATTAGTTTACTAGAAAAAAATAATACCATAACCATTATTACCAAAAATTATATAAATATTTATCAATCTCAGAAATTTATTAAAAATTATTTTAAAAAAATTATAAAATTGTTCGAATGAGTGACAAGCCTTGTGATTAATTTTTTAACCGACTATGAAAATTTGAATATCGAGCTACTTGTGTTTAGACAAGTGTGATGTGCGTAATATATTTAAAAATACAAAATATATTTGTGTAGAATTACTAATCATTAGCAGATCAATGAGTTGTTTTTATTATAACTATTAGTAATAAGTAATAATTTATAACTAATAACGTTTAGTGGGATTCTGGTGTAAGTATTTATAGAATAAAGATATAGGAGCTTAGTGGAGTCATAAAGGCTCGTAAAATTTCCACGGTTTGGGCTTGATTTCAAGTTTCCGCAGTTATTCATAAGATTTATGACTGAGTAAAAAGTGTAGACTCTGCTCACTCTCCAGTTGCTTCTTTTCCCATCAAATTAATCGCTCCAAATGAACGGAATAAATGAAACTGTTAATTATTATTAAAAGTTAAATTTGTTGGCAATTTCCAGATATATACTACCCAGATGTCACAAAACATGGTTTTTTTTTTTCAACACTTAATGTCGTTATAAATACTTAATGCCAAGTTTTTTAATGTTGTTTTTACATATAAATCATTTGTAAATACCGTACTTAAAGCTTACATATTTTAAACATTTACACGATTTATTTATCTCATAGATAAATATATACGTATATTATTATTAAATGTATTTATCAGCCGTCCGATGGAGTTACCATTTTTAGATAGTTTACATTTGTAATGAATTTTTTTTCCTATCATTTTATTTGCGATTTATGGTAATAATAATAGTCACGTTGTATAGATGATTTATTTATGTAATGTAATAACTGATCCTTGGAATTATATCGCAATTATTATTATTATTATTATTATTGTTTTTTTTTATTTAAAATATTATTTCTTTATCAGTATAAGTAACTACATATATTGTTAAAAGAAAATCAAAATCTTACTCATTAAGTTTCAAGGCTCGAATGCAAGGACAGTGCAAGCATAAATTTTCATGGTGGGAATTTTTAATAACAGATGCCCATGGCGCCGGCAGCGGCATCGGTGGTGGTGGCGGAGGCATCACAGGCGGTAAATCGCTAACTGAAAATCCATTTTCCCGAGTTGTAGTTTTCCGAGCCCCTTTTCTTCTCACCGCGAAATTACGCTCGCGAGATGGAAACCGCGGTGTTTTCTTTTTCTCTTCCGTCACTTCTTTCACTGATAACCGATCGTCCCAAACCATTTTATTGTTTGATGTATATTTATCAACTTGGACAAATATTAATTCTCGCAATCTGTTCGGTGTCCTGTACGTACGTACGTAAATATAAAAAAAAAAAAATAAATATCACTGTTATAATTACACTGGGGAAATAATAGGATCTCTCGGGTGATACTTTAAGTGAAACTAATGCGTTCCTCGGCCAAGATAAACAATAATGACCGCTAAAAAAATATTCTAACGTCAACACAGTGTCTATCGACTTGATCCGATAGATTGAATTGTTACAATCAGGTTAATGGACAACAAATTGATGGCTTTACTTTGAGAAAACAAACAATTTGATATTACAAACAACTATTATTAAATTTTTTTGTATTTTTAGAGTTTTAAATAATTTTTTATTTTTAATTAAACCATTAAATAAAATGTTTGTTTGTATTTATGAATATGAATATGGCATTGATATATCTAATTTAAGTCCTCAAGTTCCAGCACATAAAATGAATATATATAATATAATATAATAACCGGACACAAATTCTCTCAACATGAGAATTAACGGGTATGACCTTGTCGACAATCAATCTACGGGTACTTACTGGCGATTACATGAACACGAGACCGTTTTTGAGCAATGGCACGAACCTTAATTCAAAAGAAACTATTCAATATATAATAGTACTGACACAGTATATAATAAACTTATAAAGTGAAATGTTGATATGATATGAGCCGAGTTTTCACAACGACATCGCGTTTTAAACTGACACGTTCTCCAACTGGAAGTTGCACTGCGCGTTCCACTTGACGAAGTTAAATGGAAAAAAGAAGCAACAATATAATACGAAAAAAACGAAATAGAAATGACAGCTACTTGGAGCACACAAGATACGACAACTCGAAAGAACCCGCGGCCTTCGCAAACTGTTTTTTATTACGTGCCATTGTCCGTACGGCAATTTTCATTTGTGCAATTACACACCGATATGCTGCGTGTCACGTTCGACACTGGAATGCTGCTATTAAATATTATTTTAAATTATCTGTGACAAACACACTGACAAAAAATATATTCACGGTTTTGGGCTACTTTTTTTTACTACTCCGAGAAGAAATACTTTCACTTTATTACTTATACTGAATATTTTACTAGCGGCTTACGATGAGCCAAATCAACGTGATATAAAACTCTCTATATTAATTTACATTAAATCGAACCACCCGCTATTAACTGTTAAATTGTACTAACTGCTGTGCGCCAGTTACTCTCAATAATATTTTTCGTATTCTACTGAGATTATACGCCTGTGTTGTATTGATAACGATATCTGCAGAATAAATAACCGCGTTATCATTTTAACGCCTCAGAGCTCATTGTCCAGCTGATGGAATTATTGTTCAAGCAACTTATCACTTTTAAAATATGTCTTAATAATGTAATTACTCAAATTTTATTTGGTATCTTATTATTTATTATATTATAATAAAATTTTTAATTTACTTAACAAAGAAGTAGCACAGACAAATATTTTATTGCAAATAATAAAAACCATTTAATATTTAATGTTAAAATTTTAAATCAACTTAATTAGTAAGTTGATTTATTACTATTACTATTATAATTACAAATATTAATAGAAACTGTAGATAATTGTAATTAAAAAAATATTAATTGCAGGTCTACTGAATAATAAATAACGTCTTATTTATGCGGATAAAATTATACTTATTAAATAAATTTTCTAAACTAATAAATAATTCCTAATGAATAAATGATAACGTATGAAATGTATAAATTACGTCAATGAATCTATAAATTGCATTGATGCAGTAAAACGAGTCATAAAAATTCTTAAAATAATTTTTATTTATTTGTAACAAAAACAAAAACATTGAAACAAAAAGTGAACAAAGCCAACTCACCCGATGCAATAAATACCCGATCGTTCATTGCCATCATCGTCATTATTATCATTATCATTATCATTATCGTAATTCAGATCCTCAAGATCATCATCGTACGCATTCCCAGGGTTATGGACAATCGCAGTGTGTTTTCGCGTCTCCCATCTGTCGTTCATTGTAAATTCTAATGTCGCTTTCAATCACCTTTTTCTCCACAATACCTGCAACTTCCTCTCGTTATTTTATTGCCCCCCAACAAATAAAATAAATTACAATAAAATAAGTTTCAACTTAAAACAACATTACTGTTTTCATCACACCAATTCAATATAATATTAAATAAAATAAAATTACAATTCTATTCACTAGACATGGTAATACAAAAAACTAAACACAAGTTTAAGTTTCACGGGCAGAGACAAAATTCACTCTTCTTCTCTCTAGACTTACTAGTCCGTTTAAAAAATCAAATAGGAATAAATAAAAAGAAGAAGTACAACTTTAAAAATATATTCAACTCAATTCCATCCGCATAGATTGAATTTTTTGATACCGCGTAATATTAAAGATCCACACTCACCAAAACTCGTTTTATCGTCGCGTTAAATGTTATAACTATAACTATCCGGAGACTCGTGCGATAGCGCGCTTCGGGTGTATGATCACATTCTAAATATAGTCAGACATTAAAATCACGCCTCAGTCCCCTTTAGCTTTATATTGTGCTTGGTGTTTGATGCTTACTGCTTAGTACTTTACTCGCTGTTTGGTGGTTGATGCTCCAAGACTATCGGTATCATGGTGTATGGTTAGTCATTTTATAATGTAATGTGTAGCAACCAGTTGAGTGTAGGACTGGACTAATGCAAGAACCTCCACTAATGTAGGAGATGATACCATCAGCCAAACACATTGACAAGTTAAGAGAACGCGTTCTTTGATCCAATACACAACAACTTCCACATACTTTTCTAATCTAAGCCTTACAAGTTACAAGTATTGTATTTATACAAATAAAATATATATATATATATATATATATATATATATATATATATATATATATATGTTTCTTTACAGATTTAAAAGTGAAATGCAAGTAAGAGTTTACGTGCACACATGAGTTGATGTTGAACGAATTGACAATGCGTCATAACTGATTGTAACAAGCTCAACGGCGAGTCGACAGTCTCTGTAGTATTATATCGTGTATATTAAAAAATACAAATCTTATCTTTAGATTTGCGGTCACGCGGCGGTATTCCACCGTTGTGTTGAGTGTAAGTACTCGAGATAATCAATTTAAAAGTACATTACCTCTACATGCTTGTTTTTACACTCAAATCATTTCATTTTATTATTTTTTAACCAAATAATTCTGAGTCATTTCATTTCACGCTCCGTTTCATTTTTTTAATACTTTTTTTTTGGATCATACATTTTATTTATAAACTTTGTAATGTAATTATCACCTCGATTACGTGGCATAAATAAAACTTTGTAATCGATAATGATTTTTTTTTTTAAAGCCAGAATCGAATGTCTTACACGGAGAGAAATTTATAGGAACCTTTCCAAACATTATGGGAATGATTCCTATAATAAAATGATCAGTATAGGTATCAATCCTATACTCATTATGGGAACCATACCCATAATTTATTGGAAACGTTCCTATACAATAATGGAATAGCTTCAATATATTATGGGAATGGTTCCTATAATGTTATAGGAATGGTTCCAATAATATTATAGGAATGGTTCCTATAATATTATGGGAATGGTTCCTATAATATTATAGGAATGGTTTCTATAATATTATGGGAATAACGCACACAATAATAGAAAAATTTTTATTTTTATAATAATGAAGCTATCACTTCAAGCTATCACTTCAAAAATATAAAGTAATTATGTATTTTTTTGCTAATAAATTTTTTTTGTAAATAAAAATTGATCTATCACTAGAGTGAAAAAATTTCTTTTTCATAATTTTTATTCACGTCTGTACTTAATCTTGAATTATTTATTCCAACTCAGTTATTATTGTGTTAGATAATATTGAAAAATATTGTAGCAATTTCATTCTCCAATAAAAAGGATATTTTCTCACTATACAATTGTAGAAGCAAAGTAGATATAGAAATTCATTGTTTATTTTCACAATTTCATTTTATTTTCAAAGCAAATTATTTATTTAGAATACATACGTTGAGCCGCGAAAACATTTGAAAATTTGGAATTTCAAAACAATTGGAAATTTTATTTTATTTAAAAAATTTTTTTTTTTTCTAGTAGAAATTTTTTTTTTAAGTAACTTTTCTTTTTTTTAATTGATTTTATTTTAATTTACAAGCATGTATACCATTCAAGATTAAAAAAATATCAACTGCTGCAACTGATTAATTTCATAATAATAATAATAATAAATATTATTACTGATAACTTTTTTTATCAATTTATAAATTATAAAAAA